ACACCTACACTTTGGTACGGATATCAGCACGTCGCGTCCTCCGATTTCCGTCAACTCACGGTCCTTCCCCCGTACACCGACACCGCTCACGGCCGGCACCGCGGACGGGGCGGTGGGGGCGTTGGGCGACGGGGACCCGCGACGGTGGGGCGGGGTGGCCGGGGGCGGCCGATGCGATCTATTCGGCGGGCTTTTTTGTACGAGATGATTGCGGGCTAACCTCGAAATGTGCACCTTGGATGGCTGCGCTCCCTGTTTCACAGCCATCCTTACGAGCGCACGGATGGCTGTGAAACAGGGAGCGCAGCCATCCAAGGTGCACATTTCGAGGTTAGCGCCGCAATCATCTCGTACAAAAAAGCCCGCCGAATAGATCGCATCGGCCGCCCCCGGCCACCCCGCCCCACCGTCGCGGGTCCCCGTCGCCCAACGCCCCCACCGCCCCGTCCGCGGTGCCGGCCGTGAGCGGTGTCGGTGTACGGGGGAAGGACCGTGAGTTGACGGAAATCGGAGGACGCGACCCACTTCGCCACAGACGGTCCCGCGCCTCGCCGCTATGACGGGGACACACCCCGCACCATCCGCTGTGTCCCCGTCTTTGTCCGGAGTGAAAAGTCCAACGCGCTCGTCGGTGACGGCTTCCTCCAACCTGCGCCGCGCTCGGCGAACCTCGACAGCGCTTTCGGTGGCATGCATTTCTTTGCGACAGAAGCCTGGAGAGCAGCTCCTCTGCTGCTCACACGCTCTGCACAGTTGGCACAGCCTACTGTGCGGCTACCACAGCTGTGACAGCGATGGGCTCGCCCTCACTGGCCCTCAGTCACTTGTGCTGCGGCTTGTGTGAGCGACACTGCGCGGCGACTGCCGGCACACTGTGAGACCATGGGTGTGAGGTAAAACCATGCTACCAGCGCTTGGTCACATCGGCCCCGAGGTCAGATCCTTCTACTCTGTTGATGACAACACTTGTCTACTCGCTGGAGCCGAGCAGGAGGGCTTGGCGCACATCCCCTGTTCAACTCAGGGTCCTTCCCCTTTACAGAGTATTCAGAGTCAATATGAGTCTCATACGGGCTCGAACGGGGGGGAAGGGGGGGCAGCAGGTCTCTCACGCAAACGCGGGACCGCGCGGGCCTCGAGCCACAAGCCGGTCGGGCAACGCGCCCTCCGGCCGGAACTGGACGCCCCGAGGGGCGCCCTTCGTGCCGGCGCCCCGGCGGCCCGCAAAGTGACCCCCACGCCCCTCTTGCGCCTCGTAATCCGCCCGGACCTTTGAGAGCCATCGCTCTGCCGTCGGCGCAGCCGGCTCCTTGCGCACCCGCCCGCCGCCGCCTCCCCCGCCTCCGCCGCCTCCGCGGCTACTAGCGGCCCCCGGCGGTGGGGCACAGTGGAGCAGCTTCGCGTTGACGAGGTCCTTGAGCACGATCCGCGCGGCGCGCGACTCGTCGGGGCCACCCTTGGTCGCTGTCATGAAGCCGCGCGCGAGGGCGAGCGCGATCAGCAGCTCGCGCGCCTGCTCGGGCGCATCGGGATCGTCCAGCCGCTGCTCCGGAGTGCGCAGCCTGACGCCGTACGTCTGGAAAAAGTCGTCGGGACCGAGCCGGCCACAGAGCAGGCGGAGCGGCGGCATGTAGTCCCGCATTTGGTCGATGGGCAGGATGCCGTCACAAATCATCTGCGCCTTGGAGCCCGCCACCGAGGGGAAGACGAGGCCGGGGCAGTCGCAGAGCACCTGAGGGGTGGGCGAGGTGTTGGAAGGGGTGGGCGGGGGGCGGGCGGGCGGCGAGGGGGCGGGGGTGGCAGGCGGGAGGTCCTGGGGGAGACGCTGGGTGCGGGGAAGGGGTGGGGCGGGGGCTGGTGCGTCGGTGGTGTCTTGAGGTGTGTCTGCTCAGGACCAAGCGGTGGCTCGGAATCCATGCCGACATTACAGAGTCGTCAACCGCACCAGAGGGCAGTGTGGGGGGGGGAGGGGAGGCGCCCGTGCGGCGGTGGCGGTGGTGGTGGCGGTGGGTGGGGGGGGTGGGGGGTGGGGGGGGGGGGCTGGCGCGCCATGCCGGGCACGTCCGGCACCAGCAGCGTCTGGAAAGGCTTTGTCTTGCCGGGCGTGGCAGAGACGTTTGTCTTCTTGGCGGCAACCATCGCGTTGACGGTGGACGACTTGCCCACGTTGGGGTAGCCGACCAGACCGACGCAGCGCCGAGGCGCTCCGTCGGGGCCGGGAGGCCCGTCCGGGCAGCGGGCGAGCAGCAGCCGCAGCAGCTCCTCCCGCCGCAGCACGCGAGACCCGACCCGAGCCCTCGCAGGCCGAGCTCGAGGCCGAAAGGCAGACCCTCCCGCACCGGCGGCGGCGAGGCTCGGGTCTGCTGCGGCGGCGGGCGGAGCGCGGCGAGTCGAGGCGGCGAGGCGGAGGAGCATCGCCTCCTCCTCCTCCTCCTCCTCCTCCTCCTCCTCCTCCTCCTCCTCCTCCTCCTCGCTGCTCCTGCCGCCCGGCTCGCCGCTGGCGCCCGCCTCCCCTCCCTCCGCGCCGAGCGCAGACGCCGTCTCCCCCTCCTCGCCGGCGGCGCCCTCGCCCTGCTCAGACTCCTCCTCGCTCTCCTCCCCGCTCGAGTACGTGCTCGCGCCGCGAGCGTTTGCGTCTATCTCTTGCTGCGCGCGCGCCGCACTCCAGAAGAGCGCCTCGATCCCGTGCGCACGAAAGTAGTCGGCCCAGGCCGCGCGCTGCTCGGCCGACAGCAGGTCCGCCTGGAGACGGGGGCGCGACCATCACGGGCGCGGGGCGCCACGAGGGAGAGGGCTAGGGGGCCTCAGCGGGCTGCTGCCGACGCCTTGTTGACGAGGAGCACGCATGGCCGCGGGGGCGAAGCCTCACCCGCCGACCGCTCGAGGTCGACCGAGCGGAAGAGGAGCGGGTTGCGAGCGTCGACGATCTGTACCACCTGCAGTCGCGACGCGCCTCGGTCGGTCCGGGAGACCGCCGCGAAAGTGCAAATGGCTTTCGGGACGCGTGCCAGCTGCGACCGCTCCAAGACGCGCCACAGCTGCCGCCAGACCTCCAGGTTCTTTTCGTATGGGGTGAGGCACTCGCCGCCCTCCTCCTCGAGCGTAGCCAGCCCGCGGCGCCAGGCGAGGAAGGCTGACCGCTCCGCCTCGTCCAGTTCGGCCGGATCCATGCCCACCGCGCCGGCTGGCCGCCGCGGGACTGGCAGGTCAGTCGCGACAGACGCATCGCGCGGCGCCTCCGCTGCCATCACAGCGCGAGCCTCGGAGGCGAGGACGACCACCTCGCCACGCCGCGCCGCGAAGTCCTTGCCCTCGAGCGTCGCGTTGGACATGAACTCCTCGAGGTCGTCGCACTGGGTCACAGAGCGCAGCCGGCCCTTGCCGCGCTCGGTCTCGAGCTCCGCAGCCGCCGGCTGTTCGCGGAACTGCTGCCGCATGATCGAGCGGCCCAGGTTGGCTCCCTTCTTGGCCTTGCCGCCAGATTTATCAGGCATCGTCACTGGGTGCAGACAGACTGGGGGCAGCTGGGAGTGGAGGAGCGAATGGAGTGGGGTGTGGAGTGGAGTGGGCCTCGTGCGCGGGGCTTCTTTTTCTTTTTCTTCTCGCTACGGAACGCGTTGGTGGCCCATTTCGCCTTCCTATCTATCTATCTATAGCAAGCAGCCCCTGGCTCGCGAGTTACCCTGACAACCGCCAATATGGGTAGGTGCCGTGTATATAGGTAGGTAGGTGTATTGATTGTTGGCATAGGTAGGGGGCGAAGGGGAAGGCTGCTGCTACCGGGCGTGCAAACAAACAAAAGACAACAACAGACAGAGAGAGATCTCTGCTTGCTGTGGGCCTCGCGTGGTCGGCGCCGTGGTTCGAGAGAGATTTTTATTAACCAACAAGAAATCACGACTCTCACAGTGATTTGGGCTCGGCAGCTTGTTAGCCCTCAGCCGAAGCTGGGGCCGGTCCCGTAGCCGAGAGAGCCCGCGCCGATGAGTTCGACGCGGTCGGGGGGGCCTGCGGAGAGGCCAGCGAGATGGCGATCGCCATACTTCATGGTGCCCTCGGTGGGGCGGCTGACAAGCCAGAGCCCAGAGGTCGATACTCTGGACGACCCATAGGATGCCACGAATGCCTGAAGGAGAGGGAGGCGAGGCCAGAGGCAGGCTCAGCTGCTCTCGGGTGATCCCGCTTTGGTGGCTGATGGACCCGATGGTCCTGTCACATTCGTGTTCCGAGTCGTGGGGGTAGAAGAATTCGAGGTAGAATCGAGTCAGCACATCCTTGTAGTACAGCGGACCGCCAGGCTCGCCGGCAGCATCCGCAGGGAGGCAGCATATGAGGCACCAGTTTTCTGGAGTGCTCAGCAGCTGCGGCCGCGGTGGCAGAGTCGGCCGCGGTTCGAGCGAGCAGCTTTTGGCTGCGGGTTCGAATCGCGGAAGGATCATGCCCTCGCGGAGCGACGCGGGTCGCGCGGCGCGCGCGTGTGCGAAATGCGACAAAAGACGAAAGACGACAGGCGCCTGAGCGCTGTACGCCTGAACTTTTGTCGCCGCAATCGCCACCGCCGCCATCTTGACGAGCAGCGCGAGCGCGCTCGTCGGCGGCCAGCCGTCGCGGGCCGGGCCGAGCCCGGCCTCAACCGGCCGCGCCGCCGCAGCAGGCCCGGAGGCCCACGGCGGCCGACCAGCTGATAAGGAGCTTATACTTCTTTTTTCTTGTGGTTCGTGCCGCGGCTTTTTTGGCCGCCAGAAACCACGCCTGCGTGTGGATCGCGTCACACCAATCCTCGCTACCCAACGCGGCCAAAGGATATCCACCTCGAGAACCTCGAGAGAGAGATTGCGTTTTCAGCCCTCCGAACCCGTGGTTTCAGCGCGACTCGGCAAAGGGATGAGCTCCTCTCGTTATTATGTGCGTGGGCAAGTACGCGGGCGAGCATACAAACCAGTGACAACCTTTGAACGCCAACAACACGGCGTGTAAGAGCCGGCCGTACACCGACAGGCAGCACACAACACACCAGACACACACACACACACTCCACACACACACACACACACACACACACACACACACACACACACACACACACACACACACACACACACACACACACACACACACACACACACACACACACACACACACACACACACACCACACACACAACACACACATTCACACACCCTAGACACACACATGCCCTCTGTCTCTCTTCAACGGAAACACGACACTTCGTAGCGTCTCGCTTGCTCACCTCAGCGGTTGTCGCGGTGTCGTATTCTAACAAATTAAAACGGCAACTTACTCACCGCGGAGCTAAATAAAAGACAAGTTACGAGACAGGACGCCCTGCGGTGTAGAGAATGGAAGGAAGGAAGAAGGTTGTTCGGAAGGAAGGTGTAGGTGAGTGGTAGAGAGGTCACACACGGAAAAAAACGTTCTCTACAAAGTGTACTACACACGAGCCTCCTGGGCCCCTGGCCATAGCGACTGGACACCAGAAGCCTGTATATGGGTGGGACTCAAACTCTCAAGCGAGACGGAGAGATGGTCACACATGTCCCCCCGGGTTTCTTCCATCGCGCGCGAGGCGACGAGCCCTGCGTGTGTGGAGTGTGTGTGTGCCCTGCTTCCTCCACGCGACACTCGTCTCTCGTGTCCACGGCCGGCAAGCTGCGCGTCAAGCGGCTGTAGACGGCGCCTCCGCACGCGTCACCGGGCTGTAGTTGGCAGCGCTGGCCCAAGGCGACGGCTTATTCCTGTTTGGCCTCCACATCGGGGCCACTGCGGTCGGTGACGAGAATGAGATGCCAGCCAAACTGCGTCTTGATCGGCCCCTGCACCTGTGCATGGGCGGAACCCGCGCAGGTGGGAGCGACCCAGAGTGGAGGAGCCCGAGCGGGGCCGACGGTGGGAGCAGTGCGTCCTCTCTGCCCTTGCACCTCCCCGAGCGGTGCCGTCCAGACAATCTCGTCAAAGGCGGGCACCATCTGGCCGGGGGGGAAGCTGCCGAGCGAGCCGTCACGCTTCTGGCCGGAGGGGCACTGTGAGTGTTCGCGGGCGAGCGAGGCGAAGTCTGCGCCACCGGCCAGCCGCTCCTTGAGCTCGTTGGCGAGGGCCTGCTGCTCGACGAGGATGTGGCTGGCGGTCGCGAGCTTGCGCTGCTTGGTGGTGACCACCGCCTTCACTGCCTCGTCGCCCCGCTTGCTGCGCACGTACATGTACAGGCCAAAGGCGCACAGCAACGCGTGCCACACCTACGACAGGCCAGAGCTGGTGCGCAGGGCACGCGTGGGGCGCTTGGCGGCAAGGCGGGTGCAGTCGACCAAGGGACATGATCTGTCGACAGCACGAATTTGTGATGGGACACCATCGGGACCCAACAGTGCGATACTTGGCTATCGCACTGTTGACGTACCGGCGGCTAAGGCCGAGTAGCCGGTGTTCACAGAGCTCTGTGAACACCGGCGAGAGATTTTTTCTCTCGACGTTTCTTCTGCGAAGAAACGTTCAAACACTCGGTGTCGAAACACCTCTCCGACGCGCTCGACTATAGTCTGCCATAACATGGGCGATCCAGCGCTTCTTTCGATTGGTAAGATTCTTCGATTGGACGGACGAAATGATCGGGAAAAGCCATCGCGACATCTATTTGTACACCATATGCCGGCTCGGCATAAGACGTACCGGCTTACGCTCACGCCTGCGACCGAGGCGGCGCTGCTGCGGCTGAAGGAGTGCGGAGAGAACAAGCAGCTGCGGTCCCGTTGCGCGCTGTGGTGCAGCGGCGATGCCCTTGAGGCGCTCATAAGCGCTTTCCTTACCAGGTGGGCCAAGATGGTGAGTGGGGTGAGTGCATCTTGCCGGGGGCGTGGCAGGCGATCGAGTTCGACGACGCTCAGTGGCAAGCCGTTGCCGTGATGCAGGGCGCATGGGTCCGTGACTGGACGCAACAGGGCAGGCGCAATGACCTCGCCGCACAGGCCGAGCCGCTTCCGGCCCCTCCCTGTGTGCGCCGCACGTCGAGATCGACAGCAGGACGTGCTCCTGGACGTCCAGGGCTGGTGGACTAATGTTAGAACGGTGCCGGCACGTTAACGGTTAACACCACAGCCGCAGAGGTGTTAGAACGTGCTAACACCGTGGCGGGAGGTGTTGACACGCTCCGTCTAGGGGGGGGGGGGCTGGCGCGAATTCTTTGAAGGAGCGCAACACCAAGAGTCCAGAGTTGTCACGCGGCCACACGCCCACGCGCTCGCTGGGCGGTGCTGAGACTGGCCGCAGCGCGATGAACGGCAACGATGGGCCGCGTGCTTGTGCTGCACATCAAGGCCTCGTTCTGGATTCTTTTTCCTTCGCGGCAACGCGAGGGCGGCAACGCCTCTCTGCGCGCCCGCCCTCGCCACGCCGAAGACCAACCGACGTCGGACCGCGGTGAGACCACGCCGCCCCCCGCGCCCGCCCGCGCCCGCAGCGTGAACACATACGCGCGTCCCTCACCGCACGGAAACATACGCGCCAGCCGCGCAGCAGCCTCACATGCAGCGCAGACCGCATGCCCGCGCCCTGGGCCGCCGACGACCCGGTCGGGCGGGCTGAGCGGCCGCCGCACACCACCAGGCAGGCGCACAACCACCCGCAGCGCGCCGCAGCCCACCGCGCAGCCCTGCCAGCCAAAGCTGCGCCTCCCAGCCGCACAAACAGGCGCACAACAGAGTACAGCACACAGCACACACGGCGGCGCGCGCGCAGCACACGCAGACGCGCACGCGCATCCAACACGCACACGCGCACAGCACGCGCGCGTCGCACGCCAGCGCAGCGCTGCACACAGAGCACACTTCCCATCAGCAGCAGCAGCCTGCCACAATCCTCATCTCACACACGCGCGCGCACACTCCCCCCTACCGGCGCACGCATTGGGCGTCGCCGAGAGCTCCCAAAGCTGACTTGTGTGGCTGCTTGTGCGGACGGGGGGGGCGGGGTCGGTTGGGGGGGCTGCGCGCTGGGGTGGG